TCAGACGTGGCGTCAGACGTGGCGTCAGACGTGGCGTCAGACGTGGCGTCAGACGTGGCGTCAGACGTGGCGTCAGACGTGGCGTCAGACGTGGCGTCAGACGTGGCGTCAGACGTGGCGTCAGACGTGGCGTCAGACGTGGCGTCAGACGTGGCGTCAGACGTGGCGTCAGACGTGGCGTCAGACGTGGCGTCAGACGTGGCGTCAGACGTGGTGGCTGGCGACTTGCTGATGATCGTCCTTTCTCCCGTAGGGTTCCATTTCTGTTTCCTCGTGTTGCCTGCGGGGAGAGAAAACCCCAGACACACCCAACAACAAACAACAACAACTCCAACACTTCAAGGAAACAATATCAAATGCAGTTTAATGACATTTTTCACGGGCGGCAGGGAAGAGAGGAAGTAGCATTTTCTGGTCTTCAGCATCATCCAACGGCCTGGAAAACTGTTCACACGCCGATTTACGTTAAGTCAGACTCCGGATTACTTTTCCTCATCTCCATACTTTAAAAAAAAAAAAAAGAGTGTTGCTCTGGGCAGGCCTGGGACTGTGGAGATGGTCCTTGCTGGGTTGCAGCGAAGTGAAACGGCCAGTTTAGGAAGGCCAGGCGCTGGGCTCCGTTCTTGATGTGAGTCACCTGCTGACGCGTGCCCTGTGCCGTCCCCCTGCTCTGTGCTACGGAAGAGCTGCTCACACATTTCACGTGACGTTTGAAACGGATGTCGGGTGTTTCCAATCTCTAACGTCAAAGTAAAATATTTCTTTCGACTGGGTTTTGGTCTACGTAGCGATAAGAAAGGGGACCTATAGGACGAGTAACGGGAGGTTGCAGTTTCGTAGAGTGTGGTCTTACTTTTGGACCAGATGGCCGGTAGGGCTGGCTTTGGGAGGCCATGATTCTCTGTGACAGTTGTCAGGTAGAACTTCCCAAGCCACCACCAACAGAGCAGGGTCTGGAGGAGGGCAGGAAATGCTCTCGAAGCCTCGGGGTCTCTTCTCCAGAACAGTTCGTATGATCCCGATAATCTGCTGTCTCACTGGGCTGGCTGCCACCTGTGCCTGTTCAGTGTGGCCGCCAGGCTCGTTTTCCTTCTAACGGGGCACCCTGCTGTGTGACTCAGAGGTGTCTAGTAGCCCTGCGCTGGTACCGTTCAGCGACCAGCTCTCTGACGAAAAAGCCCTAGTTTCCGTGGCGTAAACATCACCATCGGGTTCAAGCAATGACATGAATCGTGGAGCGGAGACATGTATCATATGTAAATTTAATATGTAAATTTATGTTATTTAATTTTTTAAAATAATTTTTTAAATTTTTCAATTATAGTTGGGTGTAATTTCATTTTTAATCATGGCTGTGCTTAATAATCGGCTCGCAAGATTCCTAAAAATAATTAACAACTGGTGTGCGAGCCACCCCTGGCACACCCCTGTCTTTACTCCGGGAAAAGAGAGAAATAGCAGATGGCAAAGGGCACGTTTCGTACTAAAGGGCCTCTGCGCCGGTCTGACTTTATGAGTCAGATTGGTTCTGAGCCTGGGGCCCAGGAACTCACTCAAATCACATGGCTGACATTGGTCAGAAGCCTGGACCTCGGAGCTGGACGTGCTGGGTGTCAGGACCAGCTCTACCGTTTGCTGGCTGCGTGACCCTAAACAAGCATCTGACCCCTCTTAGCTTAGGTTTCTCGGGGGTACAATGATGCACTTGCTTTATAAGGTCGTTATGGGAATTAAATGAGATAATATACTCCAGGTGGTTAGCCCGCTGCGTCACATAATAGACTGTCAATAAGCGGTAGCCATGAGTACTACTATTCTCATGGACCCGATCTATCCCTTAAATGTCCACAGTAGCTGCAGGTAGGGATGGGACCTGTCGCAGACGCAAGGTTATGCAGAGACTGATTGTCAAAGACAATCTTCTTTGTTACGGTCTGACCTTCATTTCTGCATCGACCACTTATGCAGGGTCAGCCTCAGGGGCAGAAAAGTCCTTCTCTCCACACCTCCTGAAAAGATCATCCTTAAAGACGCCAGAAGTTCAGATGCTGGTAACTTATGTCTTGCTATTAAGCGCTGCTGTCTCCCTAGGTGTACTTTTAAAATGCATAGATTCTTTCGAGGGTGAGTCGTTAAGTCGGCACCTGGGTGAGAATGAGCCAACTAGATCCCAGAGCTATGCATAGGATGGACACCTGGGAGCCGAAGAATGAGGAGCCTGGAGTGAGTGATGGGCACAGAAAGAGGCCTGAGGGTACTGAGGACTCCACTAGCCAGTTCCCACAAGCCCCCTCTCCCGGCTCTGCCCCCGCTTCGAGGTGGACCAGTTCTTCGAGCTGAGATGCCTCTAAGAGCACATCTCTCTCCCTGCTCCCCTGAGCGTCCCAGGCCTAAGGCCCAGGGGACCCTGGGGCCCGCGGTCCAGTCACCGATGAGACGGGAACATTGTTGGATCTTTCGGGTCGGTCTTCCTGTTGCGGGAACGCCAAGTTTGCAGCCGAGTTACCGGGTTCTAGTTGTGGTCCCGACCGCTCGGCGTGTGACTTTGGGAAGGTCGTTCCCCGTCTCTGATCCTTTATTTATCTAGTGTATCGAGAATGTTGATGAAGATTAACCTGACGCTCGGACGGGGGAGCCCTTTGTGACCACGAAGCCCAGGTGACCATGTGAGCGGCACCATGCGCTCCGCAAGTGTCATTCTGTCCCCGGTCATTGTTTTCAGTTGGCTCCTTTTATTTCAAGTCTTCCCATGAGAAATGGAGAGAGAGGCCTTGGCAGCACCATAGATAGACAAAACACCACATTTCTACCCTTTCCTCTAAATCTGGTTTCTGGGAACCCAAAATAGCGGTTCCTATCTGGGGTCACTTACCCACACTACGACGTGAAGTAACAGTCGCCTTCCGTGATTCCCATTTGGCTCAGGTGACTTGGCACAGGAAGGCAGAGGTAACGTCTGCAGGAGCTCTGAAGCCCCGTGAACACTAATTATGTCCTTGTCGAGGTTTGGTTTGTTGACCTGGGGCACCTGTGATGCCACACGAATGTCATCATAGAAACCAGGGGAGAAACTGTGGCTTCCACAGGTGACAGCCTTGAAGCCAAGGAGGACTTAGCTTCCAGGGAAGGGCCTGGGGATAAAGTGACAAGCCCAGTGGGCCAGTGCTGGCCAGCCGGCCTCAGCTTGTTCCTGCCCATTCGTGTGGACTGAGGGACATGGCGGGCGCCTGGCAGGACATGCTGACTGTGCTAAGAGGAAGGAGTTTACGACCTCTTCCTGACCTGACGTTAGCTTCAGTCAGTGACACGATATTTATTGGCCTCAACAGGGAAACCTCAGCTCTAGGGTCCCAGCAATTACTGTGTGACTAGAGGAGGCTTGTTATTAAGGCTTCTATCGGCCGGCACTGTCCTTCTGGTGCTGGCGGGGTGGGCTGGCAGCGCAGGTGGCGGGAGGGCTACTGGGCGTTAAGGGGCGGGTGCCGTGGTTCAGGGCTGATCACTTCTGGAGGAGAAAGATGGCCGAGGGCCAGCAGGGCAAGCTGCCTGAAACTAAGTGCTCACTTGGAGGCCCGCCGGGATCCCGCAGAGGCGGCTGGGGCGAGGGAATGCGGCAGAGAGCGACACTCGGTTGGCGGAAGGCCCACTCGGTTCTAATGAGCGTTGCGTGGGGTTTGGGCTCCACGCTTCTGCAGTGGCTGGAGAGTGGCCAAGGGCACGGCCAAAGTGACAGAAAGGAGGGAGGGGAGAGAGGGCCTCCTGGGAAGGCTTATAGGTATCCAACCTTGAACTGAAGAGACCAAGTTGACTAAACGTGCTTGTTTTCTTCAAATACGCGAGGGACTTGCCCAAGAAGATGTTACCGAATCGTTCCGACAGCCAAATGAGAGAGCGAGCCGTCTGCACAGAGGCAACACGATTCCCAGCCACACGGCACAGGGTGCTGAGCGCACACGCGGCCGGTGACAGCGTCTGTGTGCCGGGCAGCGCCCTGGGTGCATTTCGGAGAGCAAGGACAGGGCCGTCCCAGGTGTACAGGGCTCAGGGCACCTGGGCGCAGCCTCCGGGCTCCTCGTGTCTGATGGTGAGTCGTGGTTCTGGCTTGTGAAGTATCAAGAGCACAGTGGACTCTGCGTGACACGAAAGTGTCCGAGGGATTTATAACGCGACGATAACACTCCGAGGCGAGGGGCCCCCCCCTGCCCCTGGAGGCCGCAGGGTCACTTCATCCTTCATCTTTTCAGCTGCTTCTCTTTCCTTGTTCACTGCTTGCTCCAGGGAGGGCGAAGAGGTTTTCAAGAAAGCACCAAAACCTTTGATTCTAGACCAGGAGAAGACGGCACAGGCCGAGAGCAAGTCCTTGGCAGCCACCGAAAGGGGGTTCAGATCTGCGCGCTCCCCTGAGCCCCACGATCCCCCCAGGGGACCCTTGGCATGACGGTGCCCTGGCCTTGGGCGGAGACGCCGTCTCCTCACACTCGGAAGCTTGACTCTGACCCTGGGGCTCCTCGGAAGGGGCCGGAATTGTGCCCGTTTGGTCCGAAATACCTCTGAGCCGGCCGGGTCCCCTTCCCACACGCCGCGGAGGGAGCTCACCCCGAAACAGACTGAAAAGTGGGGAAGACGTGGAGCGGCTACCAAAGCTCCTTTCCGCCCCAGCAGCCTGCCTGGTGGGCTTGGTGGCTTCTGCTCATTTTGGAAGCCATGGGGTAGGGACTTGGGGGAGGCGAGAAGTAACCATTCGGATCGAATCTTATTTAAAATGTTCTATAAAACGATACCAACTAATCAGGACAAACATCACACCAAGATCTTGGATCACAGGATGCTTGCATAATGCAATGGCCATGGCAGACAAACACTAAATACCTCTAAGTACCTGAGACGGGGAAGGAGGGGCCGGGGGGAGGAGGGGAGCAGGAGAAGGAGGAGGAGCCCCGGTCCCGGCATCGTCGGGAGGTCGGAGGGGCACAGGCGGGTCCTCGGGGAGGGGTGGCCCTGCGCGAGCGTGGGGCGGCCTCTCGCTTCACATTTCGGCTTCCGAGGAGCAGGCCTCAGTGGCCGTGATGGCGATCCCGATGGCAAGGCCGCCGTCGTCGCAGAAGAGCTGGGCCAGCGCCGTGCTGAGGACGAGGCAGTCCCCGTCGGTGATCACCGAGTCCGCGCACTCGAGGACCGACCGCGGCGTGGCCTCCCACTTGAGACGCCGATGGTTTCTGTTGAGCTCCAGGCGGTAGGTGAAGCAGTCGGCCTGGGTGGGGGTCCCGATCAGCATCATGGTGGCAAAGAACTGGGGGTGGCCCTCGTGCCTCTCCTGCTTCCTGAGCAGCAGCAGGAAGTGGTGGCCGAGGCAGGAGTGCACGATGATCCAGTCCGCCGGGGCGGGCAGGTGCATGTCCATGGCCAGGAAGACGATCTCGGCCCCCTGCAGGACGCCCACCCTGTGCGCCTGCCGCAGGTGCGGCAGCACCACCTCCAGGCGGCCTTCCCAGGGGCAGGAGAACAAGGGGCAGGTGCAGGGGGGCGCCCCCTGGGGGCGCAGGCGGTGGGGGTGCGGGTGGTGCCGCGGGTGCGGGTGCGGGTGCGGGCGATGCTGCCGCGGGGGGTGCGTGGCGTGGCGATGCGGGCAGCCGCCCTGCTCCGCTGCGTTCTGGGTGACGGCCCGGCGGCCGGACACATACTGCGGAGAGAGAGAGGGGCGTTAGCGGCCACCGGCCGTCCCTCCGCCTGGCCGCGGTCCCCTGCTGTTCGCGGCATTAGGCGACCGGCCAGGGCAGGGAGGCCAAACTCCATTCCCTAAAACGTCCTCACGGACCGTTTCCCAAGTGGCAGCACCATGTTCCGTCCCCGCCAGTCACGTGAGAGGGTGACAGTTTCTCCGCGTCATTGTCAACACTTACCATTATCTGTTTTGACAAATCATTTTGAGACAAAATCGTTTTGGAAGTTTCCCCAAATTTAGATGTTGGAAAACTAACTGTAAGTGTTCTCTGTGTCATTTCATTTCGGTATAAACCTAGACTGACCCGAGGAAAAACAGAAGTTCCTTCGAAACATTCCTCCTGCAAGAAGAGATTTTCTAAACCTAATGGAACAATTTTTTTTTTTAATCAAAAATAAAAATGAGAGACACGATGGATATCTTGGGTGGCTGAGGCTCCGGAAACTCAGTCCAAAAAATGCAATATTCATGCCTTTCTGATCCTTTAATAAGATACTCAAACAAAGAGGCAATTTCCTCCTCGAATAACATGCATTAGGATGGTCATTAGTTGTAAAGAACCAAAAGAAAA